TGGAAAAAAAATTCTAAAGACATTTTAAAGACCCTAGTTCACTTGTAGCACATCAAGTAAAGAAATTTTGCTGCAAGACTTGAGGCTGGTCTAAAGAAAAAAAAAATTATAGAAGCCATAGTTCCTCTTTTGGTATATTTGTACAGTACTTATGGTTAAAGAAGAGTCTGTTCCCCAAAGCATTTTCAAGTTTGAACACAGAGCTAACCACACTTTAGAGAATACCTGAAGGAGCTGGAGAGCTGTTCAGATTTCATGTGCTAAAAAAGAATATTCTCAATTAAGTCACAAGAAATACACTAAGATACACAGGACAAGTAAGCCTCAAGAGAAAATATGGCTGAACAAAAATAACCAGCAACTACATCATTTTACAACAAAAGAATTATAATGAAATGAAGTTCTCTGGACGATCTTCTCCAGCTATGCATGAAATGAAAAATATTTTCAACATACATCCATCTTCCAAAGTACAGCGTAACAAAACATTTAAGCTTTCAATTTATTTTGATTAGTTCTTAATCCCTTTCCCCCCAAACGTTTTGGCACCAAATAAGATTCTTTTGCTACAAATGGGGATTTCCTTTGAGATTACCTGCATGATCAGTCGCTAAAAGAGGTTTGGGGGTGTGGGGGAGAAACGTGACCAATAAAAACCACTACATAAACCTCAGAAAGACACTTCCAATCAGAATGAGTCGATACTTACCATTGTGTGCACACACTTAGATCAATGCCTGTCAGTGCCTTACAACAACGAATAGCAGTCTTAATCAGCACCGAAGGGTCCTTTTCTGGGTCTGGTCCGTCTAACGAAGGAGACCAGTGGCCTCCAATGGCCATGGCTTCATCCTTGCCTTTCATTCCCACTAAAAACTAATTCAAAACAAAGAATCATTTACATACATGACGCAACATGTCACATCACAAATAAAATACTTGAAAAGGAAAGGCACAAACCTTTCCAATATCAACTTTACTACCTCTCGTATCTGTCAGTCAAGGAAGAGTTCAGTTCATCGTGTTCCACACTGCATTTCAGCAATGGAATAGGATTTACACATCATAACTCATCCTTCTAACATAGTTCTTCAGTCATCTTAAAGAAACAGCTATAAACCTTAACATCATCCAAAGATAATACTAAATCCATTACCATTAAGATTTTACTATGCTGCAAACACAAAATATTAAAATGAACTTTAACTTAGTGACATATAAGAGACAGCCGTTATCTGCAGTGAGGAGACAAATCATTAAATTCCGAGTGCTTTAACGATACGAAAGTTACCAATCATGATTAGAGTCATTTTTGACTACAAACTCATCGCAGAATCAAAATTTACGTACACACCTAGAGTAAAAAGTTTAATTTTACCTTAACAAGTCTAGCAGGATGCTGAAATCCATCTCGAAGTTCTTGTGGATCTTCAGCAAGAGCACACGATTTATGATACAAATCTTCCATACTAGGGCTAGCCATCAGCATTACCTATTATAGTCAAATAATTCAATCCTGTCAAAAGTCTAAAGTAATGTAAAAAAATGAGAAGCACTACTAATTATCCTTACATATTAGACAACCAAACATTTTTATTTTTTTAAATCAAAATGGAAAATAAGGGCCAGAAAGATGGCTCAGAGGACTGAGTACTTGCTCTGCATGTGGGAACCCTGGATTTGATTCCTGGTACCACATGGTCCCTGAATCCATTGATGGATTGATGGGAGTAACCCCCAAACACTGCATGGTGTGCACCCCAGCCAAAAAAAGGTAAATAAAGTATTTTAACAGGAATGGCATCAGATACCTTATCAATTTACTTCAGGTACTCTTTATTTTAACTTATCAAGTGGTATCTTTCATTATTTTGGGAGTTGGGGGGAACTACGCCTGGACTGACCCCAGAGCCTCAAATACACAAGGCATACTACACCACACCCTGGCCTACGGGATGCTATTTTTGAAGAATGTTTTAAAACAGCAGAAAATCACTGGTCATAAATTACTGAAACAGTACTATGGGTTCCAAGATGTACATTTAACTTTATCTTAGGCTATTAGAAATAGTAACATTCTAAAATGTTTAAGACCAATTTCATATTCATCAATTTCACATTTTTGTGATTTAATGCATAAAATAAATATAGGGGCTAGAATGATAGTACATAAAACTAAATTAAGTGGGGCTGGAGCGATAGCACAGCGGGTAGGGTATTTGCCTTGTACACCGCCAACCCAGGTTCGAATCCCAGCATCCCATATTGTCCCCTGAGCACCGCCAGGAGTCATTTCTGAGTACAGAGCCAGGAGTAACCCCTGAGCATCCCCGGGTGTGACTCAAAAAGCAAAACAAAACAAAACCAAAAAACCAAAAAACCACACACACACAAAAACCCCCACAAGAACCTAAATTAAGTAACCAAAACAGAATCAGGCCTACAAAAATTAAACGTATTCAGGGCTGAACGCTAATAACCACTTTCCGAAAAGAAGGGGCTGGGGAAATCGTTCAAAAGACTGGAAGCACTTGCTTCCATCCCGAGCATCACTAGGTATGGCACATCCCCAAAGAGCCTAGAAACTGCATGTACATAAACCGGAATACAGAAACTGGAATACAAACCTTTGCACTGTATAAATGGTCAGCATCTGGTGGATCAAGAACGGCCAGATTTTTTTCTAAAGACTCTACTTCTCTGTGCATTACATAGAAATTGCAGTAATTTCCCAGCTGAAATGGTCTTGACAAAGGAAAAGCATCCACCCATGTAAACTGAGCATCGAAAAAGTCACTAGGTATATACAAATTCTGGTAACGGCGCCTGAGTTCCATCATGTCACAACTAGGACTGAAAAAAACAGACATAAGGAGTGAATAAGCTGCGTTAAGCACCAAAAAGTATGCCTTCGCTCAACTCTAACGTTCATGAACGTGGTATGGTTAAAAGCAAGTTAAAACACACAGACACAATAACTGAGCAACAGTTTCTGCTACCTAAGTACCAACTTCGTTTCTTAGCTTTATGTGTGTACCTTAAAATTCATAATAGAAGACCCTTTGAAATAACTTCAAACCCAGATCCAGAGAAGACAGGAACAAAAGCAGTTCCATCTCAGTTGAAACCGTTCATTTTTAAGAAAATTATGGTTCGGAGAACATGGATACAGAGAATTGAATAGAAGCGAGTTAGCATAAACAATATTTATATAGTAACAACTTTTATTCATGTTGACATTCAAAATTAAATATAAAATATGAAAGCAAAATTAGGATGTTTTTATAATCAGTATATTAATATCTCTTTATGTTAATATATAATATCCACAACTAAAAGAGAGACTAAGTATCTTGCCTTTTAAATTAGTCCTTTAAAAGAATGATTTCATTTGTCCTAAGAAAAGGTAGTTTGGGGAAGAGGTGTAGAGGAGAACTTTTGAAAAGGCACTGTTCTACCTTGCACGAGGCCCTGATGCTCCTTCACAGACGCCTAAAGCAGAGTTTAAAAAGGAAACACTGAGGGCGGTAGTGATAGTACAAACATGAAAGGTGCTATCTAACTTAAAGCTACCTCACCGGACCAGTTCAAATCCCAGCACCACCTACCACTGGCACCCTGAGCACAGAACCAAATGTGTTCCCTAAAAAAATAAACAACGAATCGAAAAGATGAACTCAAATGTAAACCAACATGGCAAAAGACCAAGAGTTGTTGAGGAAAGCGTAATGGAAATTAGAAAACACCAAGGGCTAGAGCGACAGCACAGTGGGTCGGGCATTTGCCTTGCTCGCGGCCAACCCCGCTGTGACCCCAGGCATCTCATATGTTCCCTCGAGCACTGCCAGGAGTAACTCCTGAGCACAGTCAGGAGTACCCCCCTGAGCATCCATGGCTGTGGCCCTCAAACAAACAGTAACAACGAAAAGAAAACTAGAAAGCATTAAATGGTGTGATGAAGATAACCAGAGTGGGTTTTCTTGAAGTTTTTCTTGTTTTAAGCCGTAACTGGTAATGCTCAGAGCTTATTCTGGGATTTGTATTTGTACTGTTACACCTGCCAGTACTCAGGGGACCACATAAAGTACAGGGGATCAAACTCAGTTCAGCTGCAAGCAGGAGACGCTACTTACCAGCTACAGAATCTCTCTCCAGTGCCTAGTTTCTTTTAAAGAAAATTAGAAACAAAGATATAAAATGTGAACAAGTACATTTGTTAAGTAAATGAGATGCCTTATTGTGTTATTTTTTTTTTGGGGGGGGCACACCCGCAGTGCTCAGGGCTTATTCCTGGCTCCACCATCAGGGACCACTCTTGCATGCTCAGGGGACCATATGAAATGCCAGAGATCCAAATGGGTTGGCCTCGTGCGAGGCAAACACCCGCCCTGCTGTATATCACTCCATACCTGGAACAGTTTATTATTAGGAGCCTAAAAATAAGACTCACAGAGAGATAAACTTGTTATGGTTGCTGATGTATTTAACATGAATAAAATTCTATCAAACTGGTGAAAGTAAGGTATTTATGAATTGTTAAGAAGTACTACAAACTGAAAGTGTGTATGTAAATTTTCAGTTTTCATCACTAGAATATTATTGCTATAGCTACCCTGTAAAATCTGTAACAAAATTAAAAGAAAAAATTGCTTCCTGACAATCTGTAAGAATAACAGACTATAATATAAAAACTTGATTTCTGCAATTTTTTCTTTTGAGGGACAGTTTGGGGACCACATCCAGAGGTGCTCAAAAACTAATCCTGGTGCTAATAGGATTAAACTGGGGTTGGCCACAGGGTCCAAGTGCTACAAGTCCATCTTTCCAGCATCCCTGATTTCCATGATCATAGATGACATCTAAATACAGCTGTTTTAATGGAGGACGGTTGGGCCACATTCAGCAGCGTCTGTGCTCAGAAGCAATCCCTAGCAAATACCTGAGGAAATATGTGTGTTGGGTCTGACTTCCTACACTGAGGTATTTTAATCACTTCCTTTTGTATTAAGTTCCTTTAATGTTCTCAGAGCCCTGAGTGCTAACTAAAAAGCAAAAACAACAACAACACCAACAACAAAAATTGAAGATCCACTTGTAAAGTGACTTTAAAAAGAATTTTTTTTTTGGCCACAACTGGTTGTGCTCAGGGCGGTAGCCCTACCCTCTGTACTATCCCTCAGGCCCTCAATTTTTTCCTGCGGAAAGACACTTACCCAGGACCTCACAAACACAAGGCAAATACTCTCAAACTTAGTTACACTCCTGGCACAGTTTCTCAATTTATAGCCCATAATTTAGGTGTTACTTTACCCAGAATACCATCTAACAAGGAATCTGGTAACTTTACGGGCTGGGATGAGAGTTGTTCAAAGGTGGGCTCATGTTCTGAAGCCCTCACTTTTGATACCCAGGACCAGATCTGGTGCTCCATCGCACTCCCATGCCCCAATAAAAAACATGTAAAAATTCCCAATGCTTCTTTTAATGTTTTCACTTATTTGCTGCCAATTTGTTTTCCTGTTTATTTTCTATACAACTGCCAGAACAAGTGTTTTTAGATGGTTCTTCCACTCCCTTGGAATCAAGAGCCTGCAGTCTAACGTTCTATGAATTACTATATTAGTGTGTATATCTATAACTGCCACAAACTGGATTAAGTACTTTAGATTATTTATAGATCTGTTTCTAGTATATAACGTTGGTACAACCTAAAAATCTCTTTTATTATTAACTTCATAAAGATGAATAACTCATGTACTTAAAAAATCTGGATCCTGAATGATTCTGACTTTAAGAAACATCTTTAAAGATAGAAGCCTTTCTCAATGAATAGCTGATAATATTAACGGATGTATGTATACAATGCACCACTGCAGAAAGGTATACTGGTATTTCAAACTCCATTTCTACTCTTAAATAAAGCAGGTTTACCAAACTGTCGATAAATAAAAGCTGTCAAAACAAAAACAAAACAAAACTCTGAAACACATTCTATCCAATTCCCAAAATTCACAAAATTAGTGATTCTGTAAGAGGAGGACAACGTAAGAAGAGCTTACCAATCTAAAGAAAACTTTGAAAACTGAACGGTGTAACGGGGAACAACACGACGAACTCTGCGAGGTGATCGTTCTCTTTCCCTTCGAGGGGATCTCTCCCGGGAACGTTTTCTCTGCGGAGATCTTTCTCTAGATCTACGTCTTTCTCTCTCCCTCTCACGACTGAAAACAGAATTTCCCAAAATCAGTAACATTTCTGGCATTATAGAAAGTCTTTTAAAAAAGAATTTTTAAAACCCCACAAATAATTGATTGCACTGAGTGCAGAGCCAGGAGTACCCCGGGGCATCGCCGGGTGTGACCCCAAAAGCAAAAACAAAACAAAAACAATTTTTAAAACCCCACAAATAATCGACTGTAGCGGTGCATCACTACATTTGTGCCTGTTTCAAGTGCACATCAGTGTGAATGTAACAGTTCACCACTGAAAGTCTAATTTCTTTACCATACTACTCATCCCTTATTACCAAGATGTCCAATCGCAAAGAGCAGTAATTTGCTTGTGATCTTTCGTGTTTCCATTTCACCTCAAGGTTCTTTAATTTAAAAATCAGGCAAGATTCAACGATTTGTTTTTCAAAAATAACACTTGAAAAATTTGTTAAGGCCAAAAGAGAGAAAATTTCACACGCGAGAGTCAAATTTACATCCTGGATCCCCACAGCATCTCAAAGGGTCACCACAGGGAGTCGTCCCGTAACACTCACAGGTGTGAACCCCCCCAAGCCATCTAAAATGGTGTTCAGGGCCAGGGAAACCATCCAAGTGTTAGTCAGAGCACGTGAAGGTTCCAAGTTTCATCACCACTACCTCCAGAGCTCCTTCCTCGGCAGGGGGGGCTCTGGTGGCACCCGAGCACCAAAACGCGGACTCGGAACACCAGGGCCACACAACCCAGCCAGACAGTTCAGTGTTTTCGAGCAGTGGCCTGAAAAACAGACAACCCCCGCCCACAGTATTGTCCCGGCAACAGCACTCTTTTGCAAATATACCTTCGATCATCTTTTCTGTTAGGTACTTGATCGCCTCTGTCATTTCTTCCTGAAAATCTGGACGGTGGATCTAATCTTCGTGCAGGTTGCGGCTGTGAAACTATACGAACGGGAGGCTGCAATAAACCAGCTTTAAAAGAGAAAAAAAAATAAGTAAAAGCATTACTTGATTCAATTTTATGGATAGAAACTTGGCTTTTATTTAGGCTTTCTGGCTGAGGAAAAATTAAAACCATTTTGGGGCTGGAGCAACAGCACAGCAGGTAGGGCGTTTGCCTTGCACGCGGCCGACCCAGGTTCGATTCCCAGCAGCCCATATGGTCGTAGAGAGCCAGGAGTGACCCAAAAAGCAAAATAAAAATAAAAAACCCCAAACATTTGTATATATTTTTTGCAATCTTTTACAAATACAAAACCAGACTGAGAATATGGCTCAAGGAAATAGTCCATGAATTACAGGCCCATATACAATAGAGATCAAAAAATACTTAAGACTTTACTGTTCTTGGAGCAATACACAAGCTGCACCACGAGGCTGTGGGGGCTTGAACAGGGGGCACATGCAGTCCTGAGACGGGGCCCTGTCCCTCACTCACACATGTCAAGTACTCGACCAGTCAAGTCACACCACCGTCTCCTAAAACCCACTTTTGTTAGCTCAGGAGCACACAAAGTCAGGCTATGGGCCAAAGTCAAGAGATACAATTACCAAATTCCATTAAACTATCGGTTGTTATATATCATAGTCACAGGATACAAAGTGTACAATCCAGAGATGACCTGTCCAGAGAAATTATAATGCTTAGATCTATGTAGGACACTTTGATCAAATAATCAAATTTAGCCTAATAGTGGAATGACTGACAAGTGTCTTCTAATACAATATATTGTGAGATATGAAACATCTTGTGAAATGTTCTTGCCAAAATCATTTAGATTTACCTTCCAAATAAATACCGAGAAAGAACATGATAACACATGAAATCAAATCCCATCTTGAGATTAACATTCCAAAAAAAAAAAAAAAAACCCACCCCAACCATACTCTAATATACTAACCAAAGTTCTTCAAAAAGACAAAGTCACGAAAGAAAGAAAAAAAATTTTTTGTAACAGAGAACTAAAGAAATAAGACTGGAGCACAAACACAAGGGTTAAGAAGCATGCTTTACAATTCAATCAGCCAATCAGCGGCTGAATAAATAGCAGTACTCCTACATAAAGAAAAAAAAAAAGAAGCATGCTTTACTATTCCGCCTCACAAATTGTCATTAGTTGCCAAAGAAAAAAAAAAAAAGGGAATACATTGTTTTCACATCATCTGGAGAGCCCATAATCAGTATGCAAATACATGATTACTGACTCCTGATATTAGGAGTTGGACATGAAGTACAAATTGTTCTTTGGATCAGATTCTTGAAATGTATTGCTTTTTCAACCACAGCACCCAAAAGGAGAGAGAGAACAAAAGGGAATGCCCGGCCACAGAGCCTGCAGGGTGGGATGGGGGGTGGAAGGGATACTGGGATCCGTGGTGGTGGGAAATGGGCACTGGTGGAGGGATGGGTACTTGAACACTGCATAATCGAAACCCAAGCACAAACATCTGTAAGTCTACTACAACTGTACCTCATGGTGTTTCACTAATAAAAATTAAAAAAAAAAAAAAAAGAAGCATGCTTTATATGTAACTGAATCTAGGTCAACTCCCAGTATCACCGAGTCTGGTCCCTGTGCATCACTGGATGCAGCCCTGAAGGCCCCAGAAAGTTCCCAGAGACTCCTCAGGCCTTCACACTGAACTACGGGCCTAGTTAGCTGAATATTAGCAGTGGTATCCCCAGAGCTCTGCTCAGAGGGCAACCCCCAAAAGACCAAAGAAACAAATACATGATATGTGACTTTTTATTTAGGAAAAAAAGAAACTTCAGAAGGTCACGTGCAAACCAGGGACACTGAATCTAAGAGAACGAATGCAAGTGCTTTTTCTTAGATGTAAGAATAAATTGTGGGAAAACAGTAAAGGTCACTTTTTGAAAGAACATTTTTAAAGAACAAGTGAAATGTTCAGGATTTGGTAATTAAGCAAGATGTGTATGTATATTTGTAAACAAATATGCTGACAAAACACAAAGTAAAATGTTCAAAATTATCATTATGCTGTTCTTTCATGTTTTTGTATACTGGGAAAAAATTTCCCCCTTTTGTTCTTTGCTTCATTGGGTCACACCTGGCAATGCGCAGGGGTTACTCCTGGCTTTGCACTCAGAAATTATTCTTGGAGGTGCTCAGGGGATCATATGGGATGCTGGGAATCGAACCCCGGTCAGGCCGTGTGCAAGGCAAACGCCCTACCCGCTGTGCTATCTCTCCAGCCCCCACGCATAGCCCCTGAGCAAGAGCGAGCCCTGACCAGTCAGGTATAGTCCAAAGGCATGCTGCCGCACAAGTCCAAAAAGAAAGAAAGGACAAGAAAAACTTATGATATAGGGCTGGGGTATGTAGTTGTAGAGCTAATTACATGGGTAAAAGGTAAAGGTAAAGGCCCTCCCGTTGATCGTCGATTTGCTCGAGCGGGCCCAGTAACGTCTCCTTTGGAGACTTTGTTGTTACTGTGTCTGGCATATCGAATACTCTCGGTAGCTTGCCGGGCTCTCCAAGAGGGGCGGAGGAATCGAACTCGGGTTGGCCATGTTGGCTGCGTGCAAGGCAGACGCCCTACCCGCTGTGCTATCGCTCCAGCCCTTTTAATTTTTGGATCACACCCAGTGATGCTCAGGGCTGGCTCTGCACTCAGGAATTACTCCTGGCGGTGCTCGGGGGACCATATGGGATGCCAGGGATCGAACCCAGGTCAGCCGCGTGCAAGGCAAACACCCTACCGCTGTGCTATCGCTCCGGCCCCTTACATGGGTAAGATCCTAATTACATGGGTAAGATCCTAAATTCGATCATCAGAACACACTGTGGCTGGAGATGTGACTCAGTGGTAGAACACTGGTAGGCCCTAGGTAAGGTTGAACCTAAGTCTGTCTGTCTGTCTGTCTGTCTCTCTCTCTGGCGACATACAGTGGGTAAGATGCTTGCCTTGCATGCAGCCCACCAGGTTCAATCCCTGGCATCCAGGTGGTCTCCAAACACTAAATCCTGAACATCACTGGTTGTCCTCCAAAAACAAACAAACAAACAAACAAGCGAAAGAGATATCAGACTGTAAAGGCTATAAAAATAGTTAGCTTGGAAATAGACAGGTATTGTCTAGCAAGCTTTGGATTTGGTTTATAGGCAAATAAAGCATGGCAATGCTGGTGGTTTACTCCTAAGTTCAGGGATCACTCCTGGTGGTGTGTGCGAAATTTACATAGGGTGTTGGTCATTAAACCTGTGTCAGCCACATGCAAGCCAAACAACCTAGCATACTATCACTCTGCCCCCTACTTGTATGTGTTTAGAACACATGCAAGTCTCAGTCAAACCTAGAATCTACCCAAAGGTATAGCTATCCTACAGATGTCCAAACATAGCAGCCCTCAGTAACAGCTTTGGGTGCTGGAGCAATAGCATAGCGGGTAGGGTAGGGTGTTGGCCTTGCACGCGGCTGACCCGGTTCGATTCCCAGCATCCCCTATGGTCCCCTGAGCACCACCAGGAGTAATTCCTGAGTGCATAGCCAGGAATAACCCCTGTGCATTGCCAGGTGTGACCCAAAAAGCAATACGGAACAAAGAAAGAACTAACACTTTTTCAGAAATCAGTAATTAGAAACATTTCTAATATCAACCAAACACTGATATAATGGCGCATTATACAGAAACCAAAGAAATCAGAGCCACGTGGAATATAAAAACGTCTAAAACTATGTTCAATGTTCCATAAACTGTGTGTACTATCTCTCCATCTCCAAAAACATATTTTTCAATCTCCTATTTACTGAACTTATTACTAGAAAAATATTAAAGTAGCACCAAATATCTCTCAGTCAGTCACTGAGGGTCAGAGGTAGCACAGGAGGTAATGCACGTGCTGCCCACACGGCCGCCCTGAGGTGGATCCCTGGCATCGCACGTGGTCCCCAGAGCCCCCGCCAAGGAATGATCCCCGAGCAGAGCCAAAAGCAAGCCCTGGGCTAACTGGGCATGAGCCCCAACACAAAAGCAAAACCATCAGCGACAAAGAGACCTCAACGTTCGAGTTCTCTGAATGGCCGGCCAGAGATGACTCAAGGGAGACTGGCTGAGCACCAGATGCTGGCACGGGCGCCAGAGCACTCTGAGGCACAGAGCGCGCCAGTGACCTCCCGCGCTGCGGAGAGGACGCTTCCCAACTCCAACAAGAAAAACGACGACGCCCGCAGCAAAAACCAAGTCGAACCTCAAGAGCAAGAAGCCTGGCACGCAGTACCTTTCTGCTGCGGCTGCTGTAACAGAGGCTGTGGCTGAGTCTGCAGTAACGGCGTGATGGAAGCGGCGGAAATCTGCGCCTGCAGCAGGGACTGGGGCTGAGGCTGAGCCTGAACCCCGAACGTCGTCTGTGGCGCGATGGGCTGGAGCACAGCAGGAGGAGTCTTCAGTAGCGGCTGGGTCTGAGACTGATTCTTAACAGAAACAGAATGGGAGAAAATGCTGTTCAAGTTCTTACCGACCCAAAGGCCTGTCATTAGAACCCTTCACCAGAAGCTCAGCTCACGACATAGATACCTGATTTGGTAGTGTCTGAATCCTTTGCGCATTCCATTTAAAGGGCATGTTGGGATTATATGTAGCTTCCACCAATACGCGGTCACCCACTTGAGGGGTTTTCCCTTTGACAGCACTGGAAAAGATATATATAAAATAAACACGATTAAAAATTTCTTTAAAACTTCCATCAAAAATTTCTAATGGCCTAGAACAAGGAAGCTATGGGGCCCACAAGACCATGTTTTAAAGAAGGCAATTTTGGTAACAGAATGACAGAAATCAGTAGTAAAGAGTATCTGTTGGCTCTTCTAGCATTTTCTTTTTTGTATAAAATGATATTAATTTATTCACATAGGTTAAAATCATAATCCTCAAAAAAATTCTTTAAAGTAATGATGTATTTATGTAATGTTTTTAAAAATATAATATTCAAAGTAATTTTAAAGTTACAGTCAAAGGAAATAGTATCTGAAATAAAAGCCCAAGAAACTTTTTAAAAAAAGGTGATATATTTCTTCAAGAATCATCTTCTTGATTTGGATTTGGTGGCAAGATCTGACAGTGCTCAGGGCTTACTTCTGGTTCGGTACACAGGGATTATTTCCGGAGATGCTTAAGGGACCATATGTGATGCCAGAGACTGAACCCAGGTCAGCTGGATTCAATCCCTCTGTATTCTCTATAGGTAAAAGGTAAAGGCCCTCCCATTGATCGTCGATTTGCTCGAGCGGGCCCAGTAACGTCTCCATTGGAGACTTTGTTGTTACTGTGTTTGGCATATCAAATACTCTCGGTAGCTTGCCGGGCTCTCCGAGAGGGGCGGAGGAATCGAACTCGGGTCGGTCATGTTGGCCGCTTGTAAGGCGAACGCCCTACCGCTGTGCTATTGCTCCAGCCCTATAATACAAGGTTTAAGGTGAAAGGAAGAATTTACTATCCTGTAAGGAGCAGGCCTCAAGCACTGGGGCAGGAGCAGCAGCCAAGAACTGCTGGGTATGACTCAAATACAGGAGGGAAAAAAGGTACTTCCAGTTAAATTTATTAGAAATAATACCTGAACTGTCTAAAGGAATTCCTACTTCCTGCAACTACCAAAGCTAATAAAATACCCTATAAACTACTCCCGTAAGTTAATTTTAAAATAAGTTTTAATTTATATCGCAAGCTACATTAAACCAAACATTAAATTTTGAAAAGCATCATCATTTCAGATTCTCAGTCTCGGCTCGATTCCCCAGCACCACAGCTTCCTGAGAGTAGCCTCCAGGCAATGTCAGGCAGCCCACCCTAAAGTGTCACTCTAAGTCTGATCAAGAATATAGGCAGAAATGCCAAATCATTTATTCAATACTTCACTCTAACAGGCTTGTTCAGTAATACACGATTTTGTCATGTGCCCCATCAAATCAAGTGGTTCAAAGGGCCAGAACAACAGGACGGTGAGCAGCTGGCCCAGGTTAGATGACTGACTGACCAGCACCCCAGATGGTCCCTGAACCCATGTGTGATCCCAAAACAAACAACAAAAAAGCACAGGAAACTCCAAGCCCAATGTGATACTTAAAACGAATGCACAATTCTATATATACCCTGACTAAACGGGGGCTTTATCAATTTGTTTAATACGCTAGAAAAGGAAGGCATCTGCTAAAATGTAATGAAGTTTACCTAAGCTGGAAGAATACATCCTCATCCACAAATCCAAACGTATCGTGTAGCTTTGTAACCACCCCTGTAAAAACGCGCTGTTTCTGAGGTTGTGTTTGTTGCTGACTGGACCTTGGTGTTGGATAGGATACAGTTATCTGTGCTGCAGGCTGAGGAGTAGACAGACTAAGGCTTGTAGGCAGGGCAACAGCTGGCTGCAAAACAAATCAACGTAAAATCAATGATGTGAGACAGAAGAAACTACGTAACACTCAAATGTCTAAAAAAATTGAATTTAGAAAAATACATCTGTTCAACTCCAAAATTCAAGTTTGAAAACTTTTTAGGTTCCCTCAGATGAATATTTTCACAGAATGTTTAAAGATACAACAGAATGTTAGTTTTAAAAAAACTGATATTTCAATCTCGTCGCGTAATAATAAATTTAATCCAAATAAAGCCAGAAAAATCCTACATGAGTGAAGTAAGTCAAAGACAAAGACAAATCCTACATACTCTCACTTACATGTGCAATCGAAAGACCCAAACAACCCATAATCAGAACTGGATGCTGGTTGCTTAAGGAAAGACTAGAGAAATGGGTAGAGGCGGTCAGTGTTCTGGGCGTGAATTAGTAATACACCTACTGGTATTACTAATTTTACACATTATCTGAAAAGTCACTAGAAGGGACTAAGATGTAAGGTCCCTTGGCACACAGAGGAACTATATATAACATCCTGAGTTGGTGCTCAGGATTGGGGGAAAAAAAAAAGAACAGTTAGGAGAGTTTTGCATTTTAAAAACATTTAAACAGACTCACTGTTGTTCTCATTTCTGTGTCATATATAGTGTGAGTGGGAGATACAAGCCCAATTAAAGTTTGGCATTTATGGGCTTTCTCACATATTTGTTATAAAAAACCCAACCCACCAGTATCCTTCCATAAAAGTTTATTTGAGGTGCCAGAGAGTATGGCAGGTAAGGCCTTGCAAGCAGCTAACCCAGGTTCGATTCCCAGCATCCCAACCTTCCGAGCAAAGTCAGGAGTAAATTCTAAGTGCAAAACCAGGAGCAATCCCCGAGCATTGCTGGGTGTGGCAAAAAGGAAAAAAAAAAAAACAAACAAACAACAAAACAAGACTATCATGATTTAATGGGCTGGTTTTTCTTTTTCCTTTTTCGTGGTGAGAGGAATTTCGGGTCATACCTGGGGTTGCAGCCTGCAGGGCAAAAACCCTACCTGCTGAACTACTGGGGCCCCAGCCCAAGTTCCTTACATGAACACAATGTCTTCCACGTGTATAAGACACGATTCTCTTCCATTTGAGCAAAATGCCAACCCCAACTGAATGGACTTCAACTGAATAGATTTTTATGAAATGAATGTGTATAAATATAACTTAATAAACGGAATTATTAAGCTTAAAGGAAAAATTTTTGGCCACATCTGGCGATGCTCAGGGATAACACCTGGCTTTTGCACTCAGGAACTCAGTTTGGCACATAAACTTTAAATAAATAATAATCTATAACACTGTAAACACTGTGTTCTCCCGTTGTTCATCAATTTGCTCGAGTGGACACCAGTAATGTCTCCATTGCAAAACTTGTTACTGTTTTTGCCATATTGAATACGCCACGGGGAGCTTGCCAGGTTCTGCCGTGCTGACGGCATACTCTTGGTAGCTTGCTGGGCTCTCCGAGAGGGACAGAGGAATAGAACCGGGTTGGCTGCGTGCAAGGCAAACGTCCTACCTGCTGTGCTATGGCTCCAGCCCCCAATAATAAATAAATAATAAATAAATAAAAAGTTCAAGCAAATAGGGGCTGGGAGAGATGGAACAGCAGCTAGTATCCTGCCTTCCCTGCCGCCAACCCAGGTTTGGTCCCTGGCATTCCATATGACCCCCGGGCCCGTCAGAAGTGACCCCTGACAGAAGAGCTATGAGTAAGCCCCGAGCACTGTCAGGTGACCCCAAAACAAAATGAAGCAAAATTAAACGTAATAAGACTATCACCTAATCCTTTAAAATCAAACCACAGATTCTGTTGTGTTTTTGTTGTTCTTGTTTTTTGGCCAACACCCAGGGGTATACAGGGCTTATTACTGGCTCTGAGCACACAGATCACTCCTGGTGGGAACCAGGTACCAAATGTGGAACCAGGAATAGAACCCAAGTCAGATGCATGAAAAGCAAATGCCCTACCCAATGTCATATCACTCGGGCCCCATGAATTCTGTTGTATACCTATCAAACGGGGGTGGAGCAGGAGCTTTATCAATTTGTTTAAATTGATAAAGCACAGCGGGTAGGGCGTTTGCCTTTCGCGCAGCCAGCCCGGCCGACCCGAGTTCGATTCCTCTGCCCCTCTCGGAGAGCCCGGCAAGCTACCGAGAGTATCTCGCCCGCACGGCAGAGCCTGGCAAGCTACCCGTGATGTATTCGATATGCCAGACACAGTAACAATAAAATCTCCAATGGAGACGTTGCTGGGCCCACTCGAGCGGGAGGGACAGTGATTCACCTATCAAATAAACCAACTCTCTCAGTTCTATAATTTTAAAAGTTTCAAAAGTAAATAAACTCAGCGCATCTTTTATCTCGGCTTCTGGGCCACACCTGTTGGTGCTCAGGGGACCATATGGGATGCCAGGGATGAAAGCAAGGCATGCACCTGGCCTGCTTGGTACCTTTCAGTCCCAGAATTTAGCATTTCTTAAATCATCAACACAAAGGGGCCGGAGCGATAGCATAGTGGGTACAGCATTTGCCTTGCACGTGGCCAACCTGGGTTTGATCCCCGGCATCCCATATGGTCCCCCAAGCACCGCCAGGAGTAATTCCTGTGTGCAGAGCCAGGAATAACCCCTGAGCATCGCTGGCTGTGATCCAAAAAGAAAAAAAAATCAACACAAAATTATTTTCTCACGTCAAACACTTTTGGGGACACTCCCAATGGTTCTTGGGGGTCCCCCTAGCAGTGCTCAGAAGACTACATGTGCTACTGGATCTGAATCAGGTTCAGCTATGTAAAAGCGAAGTCCCTTAAGCTCTGTGCCATCCCTCTAGCCCCTATCATGAAAAAAAGTATCATTTTTTTTGGTGGTACAGTAAATCAAGCCCAGGTCTTACATAGGCAATTCCTACACTGTAAAAGTAGGCATTTTTTGTTGTTGTTTTTTGGGGCACACTGGCAAAGTTCAGTTCTGCACCCAGGAATTATTCCTGGAGGTGCTCAGGGAACCATACAGGATGCCAGTGATCGAACCCAGGTCAACAGCACTGCAAGGCAAGCATCCTCCCCATTGTAGAGGGAGCACACTTCTAATGAAAAATGTTTAATATTCTAAGATTATAAAACTTTATGAAGAATTAGGAAATAGTAGAAAAAAATAAAATTTTACAGTTTCCCATTGATTCAGGAACTTGGAGCAGGGGAGGGAAGACAATACTGAGCCACACCCAGCACCACTCCGGGGCTACTCCGAGCTGTGTGCCGGGAGTCACTCCCAGGGGACTGTACTTGGTGCCAGGGCTAACACCGGGATCGGCAGCATGCACGGCAGGCACCCCAATTCTTGTACATCCCTCTGCCCCTCAATTTAAAGAACATTTGGTCTCCTAGCAATACGCAAAGGAGTGTTGGGTTTTTCCAACGGCACCCGGCCAAACAGAGCACGTCGTGCTCAGTGTCAGGGAGCGAAGGGGCTGAGCTACCAAAACCCTACTCGGTGGCACTGCCGGGCTCCCAGGGCTCAGCAGGCAGGGCCAGGAATCAACTCCAGGCCCTGAGGCCAGAGAGACGGCACAGCGGGTAGGCGCCTCGTGCACTCGCCGACCCAGGTTCAACATCTGAAATTCCATGACTAAACGGACTGGGTCTTCCTCATTACTTGCCATCTCTCTCCTATCTTGATCGGAAAACTCTAGCATTTGCAGACATGAGGGTGTTTTTCAATTTTAATTATTTTACGAAACAAAAAATCAAGCAGATTCCCTAAGTAAACAATAAAACTGAACTATACTTTATTACAAAAAATCTCACTATTGTTTAGAGGGGGGTGGGGTGGGGGGACGTGCCCACTGGTGCTGTAGGAAGGATCAACCAAAACCACACCCAGTAGTGCACAGGGGGCCTCGGGAAGACTGTGGGAGAACTAACTGGCATAATATCCTCCAGGAAGCGCTCCGAACCTCCAGGACTCTGGAGGACTCTGCCTCTCAGTCTGACGACAGAGATTAAGGCCCCCGCCTGCACGTGGCTGACGCCGGCACCATCCTTGGCATCTGCACGTTTCCCCACCCACCCCAGCACAGAGCTCAAAGTCGTCCTCAGGTACTGCTGGGCATGGTCCAAAGACCAAAGAAATAAATAAAAACAAAGTAAAACACGTATCCAAACCATATCACAGCTGAATCGAGAACTTAAAAAGCCATTAAAAAGAGAAACTACTTTTCAGCTAATATCATTGCTAAAACACTGGTAACAACAATCTTCTCTTAAGTCCTTTAAGAAAATATAGAAAATCTTAATCTACCAAAACAGGAAACTCCAAACTAACCTGTGTTAAAAGGGTCTGTTGAGGTTGTTGTAACTGAAAACAGAAAAAAACAGGGGAAGGAAAAACAAGATTAATTAAATATAATTTGGTAAACTCTCTAAAATAGTACTTCATTTCTAACCAAAAAATATGTGGTAAGAAACTGAGGTTATCTAAAATATGTGGCAAGAAATAAAGTTTTTCTAAGTATAGATTCCAGATAGACACACACACACACACACACACACACACACACACACACACACACACACACACACACAGAGACACACACACACACTCTATCAGGTCAGTGAATAAAGGAATTGATCTTTATTCCACAGGAACAACAGCCATCAAAAATCTGAAGTCCATACAGAAAGAATGTTCAGTTCTGCCACACTTCACCATCATACAGAAATGGAGGAGCATGCCACCACCCCGTTTATATGTATCACGAAAATAAGAACCACTCCTGATGGCCAGATCTGCCACACGGACAGAAACCATCAAGGAACACCATACTCTCCAGTTGGGATTTTCTCATGAGAGAGAAAGACACCATTACCAGAAGTTAAAGGAACTGATTTTTAGGGGTGAAGGCAGGGGACTGAGACTCTGGGAAAGAAATTCAGTTAAGCCATCACAGAACTCGATGACTGAGTGAACACTCTACATGCAGGAGGCCAGGCATGAGCCTCAGAATGCCTATGAAGGAACGTGTGGTGACTTTTAAGTCAAGGACCTTGGTTAGATACCAAGCACTCCCCAGGGGGCTTCCCTTGCATGAAGTTGACCCGTCTGCTCCCTAGCATCCTCTAAGGTCCCCAAGCCCACCAGGAGTGATCCCTGAGCCGGGAGTAAGTCCAGTGTACAGCTGGATATGGCCCCCAAACAAAAAAGCACAAACCAAGCACAACACCATCCCCCACAAAAAAAATGAAGTTCTAATTCATAACAGTGTATACCAGGGATCAATCATTCAAAGAGAATATCCAAGGTCACCATGATAAAACATTAAATCAATATCACTATTTCTAAGAACAGTACAAAATATTTTTTTAATGATAAGAAGGTTTTGAGTACCACAATGCCAAAAGGGGGAGAGACAGAGACAGAGATATGGGGGGGGGGGGGGGGAGAGAAAAAGGGTGGGAGGCGGGGGTGAGAGAAACGCTTGCCATAGAGACAGGTTGGGGCGGTGATGGGAGGGGCCCTGGGGAAAGTGGTACGCTGGTGGAGGGATGGGTGTTAGAACACTGCATGACTGAAACCAAATCATGAATGGCCTTGTAACAGCCTATTTCACAATGATTCAATTAAAAAAAATTAATGTTTTGAGCATTGTTATTTTTATATGGTTCAATACAGTATCTTCAATAATGCAACAAATTTGGTCTAAAGATATTGTGAAAACAAAATAGTCAACTTTGGGGGCTGGAGAGATAGCACAGGGGGTAGGGCGTTTGCCTTGCACGCGGCCGACCCAGGTTCAGATTCCCAGCATCCCACATGGTCCCCTGAGCACCGCCAGGAGTAACTCCTGAGTGCAGAGCCAGGAGGAACCCCTGTGCATCGCCAAGTGTGACCCAAAAGGCAAAATAAATAAACAAATAAATACATAAATAAAATTAAAAAAAAAAATTTTAAAAAGTCAACTTTGATAGCAATTTCCTTTCAGTTTTTTGAAAAACAAAAGCAATATGTAAGACAAGAAAATTTCAGGGAAAATACAAGTTATTGAAGCCCCAGAAGTCTGAGCCAAGGATGAGCTCAACAGTCAGCCTACAAAGAAAAGTTTCTGTGGCTGGAGACAGAGAGGTCAAGTGCTAGCCTTGCGCACAGCAGAGCTGGGTTCAGTCCCAAGGATGCTATATGGTTCCCAGTACCGCCAGGAGGAATTCCTAAGTCAGAGTCAGGAGTAATCCTAAGTTTCAAGTGTGGCCCCAAAACAAAGAACAAAATAACCAAGGGAGAAGTTCATGTAATGATGAGCCTGGTTTCTGTTCCTTCCCTCACGTTCTAGCCACCGTCTTCCTCTCCTGAATGCTCATTTCTCTGAAGCTTCTTAATGGCAATAGTAAGGAATGACTGCTACCTACTGAGCCTCAAGGCCCTAATATGGGGACTTAGGCAAGAAAAAACCTATTTCAGTGGGATATACTTTTCTGTCTTTTAACATGCTTTTCCTTGGGTTCAATTTTCTCTTCATTATTCACTTTTATAGATCTAGGACCCTGAGGGACCCAGTTAGAATGGGAATCTAAGAAAAAAGGGTTCAAAAATTATTTTATTGAGTTTTCCGTTTGTTCAAAAGTGCTTCGGAAGAAAGAAGAAATTTACAAGAGACACCCTCCATTTTCAAGTCTTTATTTTTTGTGCCACACTTGGCGATACTCAGGGCTTCCTCCTGGCTCTGCACTCAGGAATCACTCCTGAAGTACTCAGAGGGCCACACAACGTGCCAGGATCGAATCCACACAGCAAGACCACTGCCCACTGGACTATCTCTCTGATCCCGTATTTTAATATTTTATTTGGGTTGCAACTTTCATCCTCCTCCCACCTTCCCAACGACCCCATGAAGAAAAAGAGAAGTTCTGCTGCGTTAAAAAGAAAATTAAGGCTCAGAGCCAGGGAGGTGGCTGAAAAGGTCAAAGCAGCAAGCACATGCTTTGCAGGTAGGAGCCCAGAGACTGATCCCTAACTGCGTAGGGTTTAGTCTTCAAAAGGGCAAAAGGAGCTCGTGTGTGTGTGTGTGTGTGTGTGTGTGTGTGTGTGTGTGTATCTGGGGACGGAGGAACACCCAGCAGTGCTCAGGAGTATTTTCTCCTGGCTCTGCATTCAAGGGTTACTCCAGGAGGGGGCTCGGGGAACCCAATGGGGAGCTGGGATCGAACATGGTTCAACCATGTACAAACAAGGCCCACCCGCTGCACCACTGCACTGGCCGCAGAGCCGTGCATTTCTACATGTGGCCTAGAATAGCACATAAGGCGAAAGGTTCCAGAGAAAGACTTTCCAGAAGCTAAACCCAAGCACCGACAGGTATGCCACAGATCAAAAACCAAAGAGAAAAAAGCAGTCGTGGTACTGGACCAAGATTAGTGATTCCAGGTTTTCCTCTGTCTGCTTTCTCAGAAGCATCTACAAATGCTATTAGTGGAGGAGTTGGGTTTTCAGGCTCTCCTTTGAAAAAATTCCTTTTACCTACCTAATCCCACACCACCAAAATCAAAATTATGGATTAAGATACAGAATAGGAGATAAAATCTATCAACTGAATTTGGAACAAATTACTATATAAATTTTTAATACGAAAAACATAAAACTAACCTGTTGTTGTACACTATACAAGGCCTGCTGAGGTTGTGAATATTGCTGGAAAAAAAGATTTGTTAAAAGAAAAACATGGATATTAATAGTTTTATTCATTCCAAAAAAGTGATGAGACATAAACATACAAAATCAAAATCATACTAAAAAATAGAATTTCTGAAACATAACTTCACCTAAAAGAAACAAAACATCGATTACTTAAAACTCTGGAATCCAAGGGGCACGAGCTGTAATACAGTGGGCAGGGCACCTGTTTGCATGTGGGTGACCTGGGTTCGATCCCCAGTATCCCATACGATCCCCTTAGCACAGCCAGGACTGAGCACCGAGCACAGAGTCCGCAGTGAGACCCGCGCACAGTCAGGTATGGCCCCAAAACCATAATAGATAAAAACTCTGGAACCGAGGCGAAGTGGTAGTATGGGCAGGTAGGGCATTAGCCTTGCACACGGCTGACCTAGGTACGATCCCTGATGTCCCACGTGGTCCCCTGAGCACCACCGGGAGTCGTTCCCGAGTGGGAAGTCAGGAGAAAACCCCGAAGACCACCGAGTGTGGCTCAAAATATAAACAAACCAAAAAACCGGGATTCATCACGAACTGACTTAGGGGCCAGAGCAACAGCACGGTGGGGGGGGGGTGCTTGCCGTGCACACAGCCCGACCCACGTTCAGTCCCGCATGGTCTATGTGGGCCCCTGAGCACCACCAGAAGTGAGGACAGAGCCAGAAGTGACCCCTGAGCATCACTGCAAAACAGTAACAAAAACAATAACCAAAAACTGATTTATGTGTAATAAGGTTATGAACCGCCCAATTTAAGAATTTGGGGGGGGTGGTGGTGATGGTGGTGGTGGTGGTGGTGGTGGCGGTATGAATTCTAGCGGGGAAAAAACAGTTTAGACCAACGCAACGACTGTTCTCTAGATGACCTGGACATACATACCTTGAACCATCAGGAGGAAACAAGCGAACTAAGAACTCACAGGTATTTTCTAAGGAGCTTAGTGATGGATCTACCCCGGGGGCTCAGATTTCTATTCTCCCACGTCAGCTATTCGAGAGTCACCTGTTGCAACGCCGCGGCGGCGGCGGCGGCCTGCTGTTGCAAGGCTGCAGTCTGAGTCAACTGATAGTTTGCTGGGGTCTGTGTGGTGAGGCCTGCGGCCGCCAATGCAGTCTGTTGCGTATATATAGTCGGAGACGCTCCAAGGAGTGACGGCTGCTGAACGCCCAGGGCAGCTAGAGAGGAAAAAGAAGAAAGAGAAACAGTTGCTTCTTCCTTTCTGGGAACTTTACCTGAGCACACACTCTTGCCTATGGCCTGAAAAGACAAACCCGGTAAAAAAAAGTTAGGAAAAATCTCAGTAATGTTTCAATTTAACCAATCCAGGTCCTGGATCCAAGATTCCTATATCTTGGATATAGGTTTTTATTAAATGTTCAAGAAAAAAAATAAAAACACTATTTTACAAAATAAAACTATACTATAAAGTACGTTCAACCAACCTTCCCTAGACAAAAAAAGCTAAAGTCCCACAACACTTTTCACTTTGAGAGAGTGGAAATACAGTCCGGGAGGGAAACCTGCCACAGTTAGATCCCTGAGCACCAGCAGAGAGCCCTCCTGGGCACAAAGCCTCAGGAACAGACCCTGAACACTGCAGTCTGATCCCCCAGTGGTACTTTGAGGAAGCAGAGCAGAAAACAGCTTACCTCACTGACCTAGTATTCAATGTTTTCTCTTCATGCAATGTGATCATGTATTACGGAGGGCGTTGTTAAGTGATTTTCCCTGAAAACTCATTACCAACAGCACCCAACATAGAGAACGATACCATAGGTACACACACACGTGTAAACAAAAAAGTGTTAAGCATAACTTTTATGGATTTCTACTTTATTATAAAACTAGCAGGCTGGAGAGACAGCACATGGGTAAGACACTTGCTGTACATGGGGCCAACCATGGTTCATTCCCAGACACCCCATAAAAAGCCCCTGAGCACCACTAGAGGTCACCAGTGAGCACAGAGTCAGAAACAGTGCTCATAGCACAATGGGCGTGACCAATCTTTCCTCCCCCAAAGAACAGTAAAATAAAAAGACAAACAAAAAACCTCTAAAAATCAAAAGTTTTAGGGGCTGGAAAGACATTAAGGCGGGCAGGGTGCTTGCCTTGCATAAAGCTGACCTGGGTTCCACCCCCGGCACCCCCAACACGGACCCCCCCATTGCCCTGCCGGGAGTGATGATCCCTCGGTGCAGAGCCAGAGCTAGGTCACGAGCACAGCCGTGTGACCCGAAAACGAATCAAAATAAATTTGATTTTGAGTGTACTGCTCTACTTAGCAGTTAGATATAAGATGAACAATTTAGTGGTTTAAACAATCCACCCAGATCCTCCAAGTTCCAGTAGGCGGGGGTCACACCCACCACCTGGCCCCCTGGCGCCGTGTAATCCCATCAACGGCCAAGACTCAGAGACTATAAAATCCAGCTCCCGGAACCGCGCGGCCGCGAAAGGACATCTTTTATGACATCTTATCATCTCATTCCTACTTTGGACAAACTTGCAGGCTATCGAATGTAGCCTGCCCACAGGGCAGAGTCTGGCAAACTCCCCGTGGCGTACCCAATACGCCAAATACCAGTAACAATGATGGGTCTCATTCTCCTAAAGAGCCGTGAATATAATCTCAGGGCTAGGATGAAGGAGACGTTACTGGGGCCTGCTCGAGGCAATCGACGAATAACAGGATGATGAAATGAAATGAAATGAAATGAAACAATCCAGCTAGAGCCAAAAAATTGGGAGGACTCAGAGTAACAGATACTTAATATATTTAATGCTAGAGACCATGAGAAATTTAGCTCAATGCTTTTATGAAATTCGGTTAAATGCAAAAAAGGTAACCAATTAAAATACCTCATGTGGTGCCCTGTGCACTGAGCTATGAGTAAGCCTTAAGGACTACTGGGTGTAGCCCCCCCCCAAACAAAAATGCTATCAAGCACAGCATTTCCCCAAAATGCTCTCCCTTAGAGATGCCTACCTCCTGCTATGAAGTTTGAAAATAAAAAGGTGGGGAGAGGTCTTCTAACTTAAAAAAGTTTGATCTAATGCCAGGACAGCAGGCTTGCTCTGCACGAGGCCAACCTGGGTTGTATTCGAGGCATGGTCCCCAGAGCAATGCCAGGAGTGAGTGATTCCTGAGCATTGCTGAGTGTGGTCCAAAAAAAAAAAAAAAAAAAAAAAACTAAACAAATAAATAAATAAATAAATAGAGTTTAGTTAGGCAGAGCTGAAGAGATGGTACAGCAGGGAGGGTGCTTGCCTTGCATAGTTACAGCCAACCAAAATTCGATCCCAGGCATCCCATGTGGTTCCCTGAGCATCCTCAGGAGTAATTTCTGAGTACAGGGCTAGATGTGAGCTCACCAAGGCATGGCAAAAATAAAAATGAAAAATATAAAAATTAAAAGTTGAGTTAGGCAAGGAGTTGGAGGGAGAGTACAGCAGATGAGGAGCTTGACTTGCAGCGTCTGATCCAAGTTCAGACTCCAGCCCCTTGTATGGTCCCCGAGCCTGCCAGGAATGACCCCTCAGCACAGAACTAGGAGGAAGCCCTGAGCACCGCCAAGCGTGGCCCCCAAACAAAACAAATTTAGCTAACACTGAATTAAGCACATAGTTATACCATGAGATTTCTTAGAACCTTTAGCATGCTACTATTTGGAATCAAAAAGAGATCGCCACAAAAGCAGAATTTGTTCACGAAACAGTACCTTCCCCTGTGCATCTCGCTTGTCTCTGGCAGTAACTTGAAAAATGCTATTCTAAAGCTATTTGTCAAACATATAGAATACTGCATTTTCAGGAGATAGTATTACTGACATTGACTAAAGCACCTGCCTAGGATATCCCTAAAAATCTTTAGAAATTTAAGATTCATCATGAATGTTGCTTAAGGAACCAAAAAAAAGTTTCAACAGAATGAGCACATGCAAACTTGAGGCTGGATCTGATCTCTACACTACACTGTGCAAAGGTTACCTGAACATCACTGGGAGCGAACCCCAAGAACCAATCTGGGAGAAATTCCTAAGCAGTACCATGTGTACGCTAAAATCCACACAGGAAGGGGGAAACCAAACCCTTCAGGTTAAGACTGGATAGTGAAGGGGGCCGAAAGCATGTGCCCTACATGTCAACCTAAGGCCATGGCTCCAAATCCAGGGGTCCCCACACTCGAAAGCACAGCACGCGCACCGACTGGGGCACAGAAAGGTGTGAGCGCAGCAACTGACAGTGGCAGAAGCCTGATGGGCACTGGAATTACAGCTGTGCGCTCACTTAGGCCCAGAGTGAGTCAAAGCCCCAGTGGCTCCACGGGACACTGCCAAATGCATGCCCGCCCCCTGATGAGGACACGCACAAAGACCACAGCTAAAGTATGACTCTTGACGAGCAGAGTGAGCTCATCTGCTCAGATGGGCAAACCCCAGGAGAAACTATGCCAAACACAGTAACAAGTCTCACAATTGAGACGTTACTGGGCCCGCTTGAGCAAATCGATGAACAACGGAGGACAGTGCTACAGTGAAGTTCAAAACGAGGTCTATACATACCTATAGTGGAAACAGAGTAAAAGGCACTAAAATCTGGGGCAGAGAACTAGTGAATCCTGTTAACACCTTTGGAAACTGCATGCATAAACGGCAAGCAAGAAATTCAAAACTGAGCTGGTGAGAGAGTAGTAAAGATGCTTGTGGCCGACCCCAGTTCGATCCCCAAATACCTCCTTGCAACAGGAGCCAGGAGACACCATAAAATGCTGTTATCAGAACTATAGGAGGCCTGAGCGGTAGTTCTGTGGGAAGGGTGCTTACCCGTACACACACAGCTGATGCTGGTCCCCCAAGCCCTGCCTGGAGAGATCAATCCCTGGGCACAGACCTCTGCGCCGCCCCCCCCCCCCCGCCCCAAACCTTCAAACCCAAAACTTATACTACAGCCATTTGGGCCACCTCTACCCTGTACTTTTATATAATGTCACTGCACACTTAATAAAACTACAAGATAATGTGTATTTAAGTTCTACATGCATGGAAAAAATAAACCTTCATGTGACCCACTTTACTGCAACATTCACTCTATTCCGGCGGCCTCAAACACGGCATGCAATATCCTCTGAAGCGTTTATGAATCATACCCATTTCCTTCACCCATCGAGCACTGGCCTCAAATCCTAAGTCTGTTTCTTTTTCTTCCTCTCCCTCTGTCCTCTTCCTTCCTTCCTGACCACACCTGGCTGTGCTTAGGGCTCATTCCTGCCTCTATGCTCAGGGATTACTGGCCTCTGTGTGTGTGTGTGTGTGTGTGTGTGTGTGTGTGTGTGTGTGTGTGTGTGTATGTGGGGGCGGGGTCGATACTGGGTCTTGGGGATCAAAGCTAATTGACCGCACGCAGGGCAAACACCCTGCCCATTGTACTATCGCTACAGCCCCACTTTTTCTCTTAGATCAGTACTCAGACCTGGTGAAGGGATGGGGCCACTCCACTGCCAGGGGCATCAGGGACAACACCTACAGTGCCCAGGAAGCCAGACTAGGAATCCAACTCCACCCCTCTAAGCTATCCATCACCAGCAGGATGTTTAGTCCTCACTGCTTTTCTAGCTGTTCTGGGCCTTGGCACTAAGCCACTAAGCAGACCAGCCAGCACCCCCAAATGTCTTTTCAACTGTTGACATTCATGAAATCCAAACTACAAGACAGGAGCTAATTCAACTTTGAAAATACCACAACTCATCCTGAACTGTGTAGGGTTACCTCTTTCACCTCTTCTCAAACACAAACACACTGTCCTCCCGTTGTTCACCGATTTGCTCGAGCGGGCCCAGTAATGTCTCCATTTCTTTGAGATTTGCTGTTACTGTGTTTGACATATTGGTAAAGGTAAAGGTAAAGGCCCTCCCATTGATCGTCGATTTTTCTCGAGCGGGCCCAGTAACGTCTCCATTGGAGACTTTGTTGTTACTGTGTCTGGCATATTTAATACTCTCGGTAGCTTGCCGGGCTCTCCGAGAGGGGCGGAGGAATCGAACTCGGATCGGCCATGTTGGCCGCTTGTAAGGCGAACGCCCTACCCGCTGTGCTATCGCTCCAGCCCTTGACATATTGAATATATATATATATATATGAATACTCATTTATATGTGTTTGGCATATGGAATACG